AAACCCTAAACCCTAAACCCGAGGTATGCTGCAGGCTTCTGCCGCAACCGTGCAGACGAAACGGGGGCCTGCAGAAACGGGCCCGAGCCTGAGTCAAGCGAGGCCCTCCCAGGCTCTCAGGGGTTCTACGTGCCTTTCTTTGGGTCTTGGGGCTTTGTAGGGCTTATAGAGGCTTTAGGGGTTCTAGGTTTAGGGGTTCAGGGTTTAGGCTTCGGGAGGGTTTAGGATTTTAGGGGTTTAGGGTTTAGGCTTTTAAGCTTTTCGGGGTTAAGGGTATAGGGTTTTGGGTTTGGAGCTCCTCAGGTCATATTCTCGGGACAAGCTCTTCCTCGCCCCAAGCTGCAGCGATTGTTCCCCTTTCGGTTCAATGCTCGGAGTAGATGTAGCAAAACTGGTCTCACCTATGGTAGACCTATAGGCCACGTACTAAGTCTCCTGATGGTTTCAGCTGAGGCTGAGTCTTGTGACTGGTCGTGGCTTCCGGAGCTCTAAACCCGAACCGCAACCGAGTATCATTGTCGTAAGGCCATACCAAATACCAAATCGTGTCTCCTTTGCAATCCCCCTGCTTTTTCTGTGCGTGCTTTCTGGAACGTTCAAAAGCTCGGCCTGCCTCTCAGTTATTGAGGCTCCACAGCACGGAGGCAGCGCTGAAAGCCGAGGCGTGGCGGAGAGTTGAACGGAGGACGCCCTTTCACAGTTTTGGGTTTGGGGTTCAGGAGTTTAGGGGGCCTCCGGAACAGAGTCTTAAACAACACCAGAAAACTCCTGAAATCCTAAACCCAAACCAAGCCTTTAATCCTGCATACAACATTACACAACCCCCCAAACAAAACCCTAAGATCTAAACCCTTCTTCCACATGAAACGCCTTGGACATGCTTACTCAACCTTTGCTTCTCTTGCAATCCCTTATCCCCTTACCAAAAGCCCTTGAAACTCCCCTAAACCTTAAGCCCTACTAACCCGAAACCCCTAAAACAGCACCACCCCCACGACCCCGACCCAAAACCCTAAGCTTTCTAAAGCCTAAACCCCACGGGAGGGATGTCAGCATCTTCTCTGATCTGTCCGCAATAAACCCTACTTGGAGGATCATGGGACTTAGTCAGTAAGGTTATAAAGTCCCTTACTTGGGGTTATAAGTATAGTTACCCTACTTATAACCCTACTTACCAAGTCCCATGATCCTTTAAGTAAGTCCCACTTTACCCCCAAACCAACCCCCGACCCCTAAGCCCTAAACCCTAAACCCTAAACCAAAACCCTAAACCCTAAGCCCTAAACCCTAAACCAAAACCCTAAACCCTAAGTCCCTGCCCGCGACTTCGCCTCGCGAGTCCGACTGGATCGCCGCCGGCCCGGGCCCCACGGCCCAGGTCACGGAGGCGACGCAGAGGTGGGCGCGGCTGGCTCTCTTTTTTTAGGGGTTCCCTATACTACCCCCTTACCCCTTAAAGGGGTACCATATAGGGTTCCCTAAACCTTCGGTAAAAGAGTTTTTTTTTTGGTGCAGGGTGTCTGGGATTTCGGGGAAGTCGGACGTTTAACGGTTTAGGTGCTTGTGAGGTCGGTTGGGCTCACCCACGGTGCTGCATGTTGAGATTTGTGACAGGAGAGGCTGCACCTGGGGCCGAAGCGCTGTCTTGTAGTCCGTAGATGTTTCCAACAGAGACTCGGGGCCCCAATACCCCAAAATCCCTGAAGCCCATCAAGCCCTAGGCCCTAGGCCAAAAAGGCCCTCAGCCCCAAAAGCTCCCTGAAACCCGAGCTCTCGGAACGGCTCGCTTGTTCAGGCCGATCCTGCTGGTGCTCGATTTGGAGGGCGGCGGCAACCAGGCTCGGGCCTTGGAAAAGCAGTACTTAAAGGATCATGGGACTTAGTAAGTAGGGTTATAATTAGGGTAACTATACTTATAACCCCAATTAAGGGACTTATAACCTTACTTACTAAGTCCCATGATCCTCCAAGTATGCATGTCTACGAGAGTCTGAGCCTCCAAAGCTGCCAGGTCCTGACAGCACCGAAGTCAGGAACGTGCGAGTACACATTCTCTTGAATATCACGTATGCAAGCTTCGTTCTATAACCATGGGGAGTCAAATTTTATGAGGGAGGGATTCTAAATGAAAGGGTTTCTTGTGTGATTGCCACGCACGAAGGACGGCAGAGATGGCGAAGACGAGATCATCGAAGTTCCCTCCTGAGCATCGATAGTCAGTTTTCGGCACAACGGAGGAGCAAAAGTAGGGTGCACGACGAAGGAAACGCATAGTCAGGCTTATATCATGCGTATGTATGTGCGTATCTACCGAGGTGCCTGTGCTCTCGATGTGCCCTGCCACCGGGACAGCTTGCCCCGAGCAGAGTGGAAGGGGCCCTCAACCAAGAAGCAAACTAGGAAACTGGGGTTTTAACTAGTAACTAATCTATACCCATGGCATTTCATGCAACTGCAGCTGCAAAGCCTAACAAGGCCCGACCTAATGAGCTGTTCATCTCGTAAAGCTCAACCTCAGGCTGTGGCTTGGATTTCGGTGTAGCGTTTAGGGTTCAGCGGTTTGATGAATTCTTTAGAGGCCTACATAGGTACAGAGGTGCTTGACCTAGATATGTATATCGTTGTCTACCCCAAAGCCCTACCTTCTTCTGTCCGTTAAGGTCCCTATATTGTACGACCAAGACGTAGACACTGGACAGAAGCTGCACAGAAAGACTCAGCAGACACTAGGCTAAACCCTGACCCTACACCCTAAACTCTAAACCCTAAACTTCCATAAGCCCTATGAGTCCCCAGGCCCTACAGTCCTGAAGCCCCAGACTTCCCCGAGCTCCTGCCAGGACGGAGCTCGGAAGATTCCACCGCTTCGCCAGACCTGGCTTCTGGGTGCGCGAGGCCAGGAAACCCCGAAGCTTCCAGGAAGAGGAGTTGATCCAAAGCCCCTATGATATTCTGTTATCATAGTATATGATAGTATCCCAGAAAAGCAGGAAGAGGAGTTGGCAATTTTGTATTGTTTGGGGATTTGGCCTTGTTGCCGTGTTGAGGCAGCACTTTGCCTTGAGAGGGGTGGCTTTCCGAAGCCGTTGACCAATATGACAATATGATTACTATAATGTACTTTAATATACTATAATTAATACTCATACACTATGTTATAACGGAGCTTTGTACAATATACGAGAATATGCCATAGTAGACTTGGGAGGCAGCCTCCATGCGGCAGCGCTTCCATGTCAACTGCTTCAACGATGGCGCGAACTCCATCCCCTTCCCGGAGGTGCGGGTGCCGTCTGTAATCAGCCGATACTACGACTAGACTATACCCTCCTGGGAACTGACATCAAACATGACTTATGTGCCGCCTACTGTTCCAAAGACGGTAGTTGGGGGTACATGCTCGCTTGGGGATCGCTGCAAAGAAATGGGAGTTATGGTATACCTGGTAGACTCTCCACTATGGAGAACGTAGGGTCATCGTCCATCTGCAGTCGTACTTCGTTATGAAGATGACGATGTCCCTAAACCCTAAAAGCTAGACTCTAAAGCCCATAAGCCTGAAGCCCCAACGCCCCAAACCCAATAAGCCCCAAACCCTATAAGCCCAAAGCCCCAAAACCCCAAGCCCTACATCACCCGAGACCCTAAACCATATAAGCCCTAAGCGCCACACCCTGCATCACCCTAGACCCTAAGCCAAAAAAGCCCCAAGCCCCAAACCCTGCATAATCCTGCTCTTTTCTTTTCTTGGTGCACTTGAGGTGGTGGAGGCCATGCAGCAGTGGCTCCGAGATCTGCTCGGGCTGGCGCCAGAAGAGGAGTTGAGGCCAAGCTTGGGGGGACCAAAAACTTAAACCATGTTGGTGATATTTTAGTGACATTATCAGGATATTTTAGGGATACTTTAGGGATCCTTTAGGTAGATTTTTGCACTTATTTTCGGGATTTATTGGGCATATTTCAAGCATATTTTAGAGTTTTGGTTCAGGCTTCACAAGTGAGGGCTTGTAGGGTGGGGTTTCGTGTTCGCCGGCTTCCAGCCACTCGAAGCCTCGGATCTGACGGTCCGAACACCCAGAAGCACAGAACCCAACAAAAAGGGGCCCAAAAAAAAGGATTCTAAAGGGACGGTAATATAGAAAGCTACCCATCACATGCCTTCGGAATGCTGCCTTCTAGGCCGGGTCGCTAGGCCTCTGGAACAATACTTTTCCCAACTCTTGGCCCAAGCATAACACCCAACAACCCCAATCGTTCAGCAAAGCACTTGCCTATTTTGGGATTGCTTCGTAAGGGTGTCAGCTGTGATTTCGGATCTTGCAAAGACAAACAGCCATGGCGTAGGCAGCCGAGCAGAAGGCCTTTTATCTGTGTGGCAGAAGATGTCCTCAGGAGCGGACTACACGCACAATACAGTGCATTGCAGTTTCAATGCATCACCTGATCCCCACGCGTGCCAAATTACAAACCTCAGTTGTCAAACGCGTGTCCTCGAAGTGGCAGCAAGCCATCCTTGATGCCTTAGATCGCGGTCTCCGGACGCCTGAGCTGCCAGGAAGGAGTCCTTCCTGTTCGTCACCTGCGGAAATTGGGATGTGTCCTGGTTGAAGTGTTTCTGAAGCGTGGAGTGGTTAGCATATAAGGAATAGGTTTTCAGTGAGTGTTAGCATTGGGATTGAATGGGCTCAGTACTGGTGCGGGCTCAGTCGGCGCATCGGTTTCAGGGTTGGAAGTTGGGTCTAGGGAAACGGGGTTTGGGGCACTGGGAGTGTGGGGAACAGTTTGCGGAGAGTTTGGGAATTAGTGAAGCACTGTCTTGTACCCTTCTTGCTTTTGTTGCGAAAGCCTTCATAGCCTCAAGACGTACGTGGCCCCAACCCCGAAGGATTCATGTCCGGTGGTGCCGTACCCATAAACCTAACCCCCAAGGTCACAGGCCCTAAACCCCAATCTCTAGACCCCTAAAGCCTACAGTCCGACAGCCTTGCTGGAACTTGAAACCCACGGCCCTAAACTCTACAAGCCCATCACCGGAACGCCTAAAGCCTAGCCCCAAAATCCCCCATGCCCGAGAAGACTCGAGAACCTCTGAGGCACCTATTTTAGAACCCTATAGCCTTTGGTTTAGGGTTTAGGGTTGATTCAAGGATCCTATAAAGGCCCCTATAAAGCCATAAAAGGAACCCTTAAACACCTTTTGTTTGAGGTCAAGACGGCGATTCCGAGGCAGTGCAACAAGCCTTTCCCAGGCGCTGGGGGGCTCCGTTTCGGGAAGATGCTAGGACCGTTGAGCTCGCTGCCGTTACTGGGCTCTGGAATATCGTGTCCCTGCAGGAGCCATTGTAGAAACGATGGTTATTTTGTCAGTGCTCAAGTGTCTATAAGGACCAGTACGAAATATGCAGTTCCATCTGCTAAACCCAAAACCCAAACTTTGAGAACACTCGGACACACAGCCCCAAAGCCCTTGAAACCCCAAACCCTGATAACCCCTCAACCCCGAAACCCAGATCCAGGTGCAGTCGACTTCGGTTTGCAGCAGCTGCTTTTCTCGCGGTGGACGAACATCAAAGAGGCCAGGGGTAAGGTAATGTAGGGGCCGTAGGAATTAGACAAGGGTTTTCGGGGTATATGATGATATACATACATGAAGGCCTTATAATTAAGACCGCCCGATGGGCAAGGAGGTGTGCAATCACGCACTGATGATTGTCAAGCGGAGCTTGGGCCAAGATCAACCATGAATGGTTTCTGTCGCATCCGCCCTGGCGAATCTCCAGTCGGAGGAAAGGCCTTGTTGAGTCAGGCTCTGAACACCAGATCGTTACAAGAAGAGGGACCGGATCACCTGAAGATTGACTCCCTTGGGCTCTGCATACCTTCTGAAACCGAACGGCCGCATGCACCCGGACCTGTAGTAGGCTCCTGCGCCCAGTCGAACAAATCTGGCACCGACGGGTGCGATGGTTGTTCTAGTCTTGTAGTCAACGTTGGTACTGTAGGTAGGGTCTCATTGGAATCAGAGTGGCATTTCACTCCGGCTAGCAAACGGCAGGAAACACTGGAAACTTCAGAAGCTCGCGATTCCGCAAACCAGTCAAAATATTCCTTAGACCCCACAAAAGGTGTATGCCCGTCTGTCAGCCCGGCACTTTGAAGAGGTTTTCAGAGACCACTTCAATCTGTCTGATGCCGATGCCCCGACGGGAATGCGTGGCATGCTCAAGCGCTTGAGGCTCGGGCAGGGTGGGAGGAGGGTTGAAGCAGCGGCATGGGGCCTGGTGCGATTGGTGATTGGTGGCTTTTATCAGGATTCGGCATTTAGCTCCCCCCCCCCCTCAAATGGTCTGCTGGGTTATTTCTTGACCCTTCAATCCGAGATAGTTTAAAGCCTCAAAACCCCCACATCGCTAAAGGTAAGGCCTAAACCTGAAGAGCTTTGCGGAGCTCTGAGCCTCCGTGAGCCCAGAGGGTTTCTGGAAATAGAGGAGCCCAAATAATTCCCAATGCTATTTTGGGTTCCTGATTATATGTTATGGTATAATAGCATCTTGGGGTTCCTTTTTATAGTTATGGTCTCGTACTGTTTTGGGGTTCCTTAGTATAGTTATAGTATCATATACCCCAAAAGCCCTGTGGAGTGATTCTGGGCCTGAGGCTACGCGTTTTTGGAAAGTAGTTGCGAGTCTTGGGGGTTTATAGCATTGGGATCTTGGCGTTCAGGGTGTATGGTTGGGGCTTCGGTGAATCGGCGATCGATTGGTGAAGTGACGTGACTTCAGCTGGGAAGAAGTCAGCCAAAGCACGTAAAACTCAGGCCGCAGATCCCAACACCTCCGCACACCGCAAAGACCATTCAGCTGGAATTCGGCTCAACGGTCGCTCCCTGAATCCTGAGCCTTGAACTCTCATCTCCAAAACACCAAAATGCTGATGCTCATGGAAGGATGCCGCTGGCCGGGCAGCATCACTTAGGTGTGCGCCCTGGGTTTTCGTCCTTATAGAGAGAGTTTAAGTAGGTTGGGCCGAGATTAGGGTTTGCCGGGGGTTGGGGTGCGGGGGTGTGTTCCAAATCCTATTCTCGAGTTGACGTCCAATCGTCTCTTTATTTATATCAGCGACCTTAATTAATTATGCATTGAACATGCGAAATTTGGTGACGACTGAACTTGGACGGTTGGACGAGTCTAATTCCGAATGCAACGTGCCGGTAGCGAGTGCTTCTTTGGGCGGGGTTCTTGTTTGGAAGCTTTCATTTTTCAGGTTGGCCCAGAGCTTTCGGCATTTTTGTGAGCAGCACCACACCTCCCTTCGTTTTTCCGAGGCATGGACGATGTGAGCAACATCGCCAAGATCCTGCAACGGCTAATCCGCGATGGATGCAGCATCAAAGCTACAGGCCTTAAGTGGTGCAGCTTTGGCATTTCAGGGCTATTGAGAGACATGGAGCTGCCTTTTGAGTCTTTGTCCGTAGCTTGTAGGCTGTAGTTGGCTTTAGGGCAGCTTCCTTGCAGCAGCATGTCGTGGGGCAGAGTGTGCAGAGCTTAGGAGAAAACTGCCGCAGGATCAACAGGCCTCCTACGAGAGGTTTTGTGGTGAGGTCTTGGGGGAAGGCCTGTAAAACATGACTCGTCACGGTGGAAGGCCCTTCGGCCAAACTGAAGGTCACAGAGGTGTGCGTGTGAGTGCTTCGGGATTTTCCTCGGTTAAGCACACAGCAACTGGATTTCGACGACAGATTCCGTTTCCAGGCTGGTGCGTAGACCGACTCCAGTCTAAAGCCGTGACACGAGAAGTGCTCTCTTCTGCAATCCACCGGCACTCCCACCGCAACGTTTCCAACCATCTAGCCGATCCCTGCGCCCCAAACTGGGCACCGTACCGAGGAGACTCTTTCCAGCGGAATCTTACTCCCGCTTCTCCGAACACTAGCTGAACCAGCACGCCTCAATGTCTATCGGGGAAAGGCCAAGCCTCCTTGAAAGTGCCTGGGCCAATGAAGGGCGGCTTCAAAGGTGCCTGGTCAGCTTTTACAGCTGGCTTTGGGGGCTTTTGGGGATTTAGGTACATTTACGTAGGTGTAATTTCGAGTTTACTTCAGGGTCTCGACTTTGGGGCTCTAGACGGCACCACTTTCACCTGCGATCGGAGGGTTTTCCCTCGGGGCTTCCCTGCGGGTACGGTGGAGATGTTCAAGGTTGCTGGTAGTTCTCTAAATTAGGGCCTCCTTTTAGATCCCGAATATAGCACTGCACCCTAAGTCAGAGAACTACCCTTACAGAACTCTGTCCCTTAAAGAAGCCCTTATAGAACCCTTATAGATCTCTTCAAGGAATCCTAGAAACGACCCTTAAACAGGGACCCTAAGTTAGAGAACTACCTTAGGGTCCCCTTTTTGGTCCCCGAAATGGTACCCTAAAACGTATTCCTGGAACTACCCACATATGTGCCGAAACCTGACGTCTGGCTTCCTTGCAGGCTACGGAGGCTTCGGAAAGGGCAAAGAGAAAGGCAAAGACAAGGGCAAAGGCGGCAAAGGCAAGGACAAGAAGGGCAAGGCAGGGGCGCAGAGCCCAGAATTTTTCAGGCTGTGTTTGGGTTCAGCATGTGGTGTGTCAAGTGTCCTCAAGATGTGCAGAGATGATCATTTCAGAGACTGAGTCCCGCTGTCAATCTTGCTTCGCCGCTTGTCACAGTCGGGCATACCAGCCACGGCACTCCACTGAGCCAGCCGCGCAGAAAGATTTGTGTGGGAAGATTCTGACTCTGCCGTTGAGCCCCGAACACGCCCCTTTTGCCCTTGCATTTGGAATCACGTTGCGCTCCTTCGCTCTCAACGTGGTGCCTTTACTTTATAGGCCCACCCGCAGGAGCCGTTCATCCCTAAGGCCCCGGCGCTGGAAACTTGATTCTACCCTACAAGCTCAAAATCCCAAATGCGGTGTTTTTTGCCCAAAAAAGCCTCAGGGCCTCGGCTCTTTCATGTCTTTGCGAGGGCTTCTTCAGCGAGATGCCACCGCCGCAAGGCAGGCGATGCCCCTCCCTCCATGGCAAGGGCTCAGGGTTCGGGTTGCAACTAGGGCGCCGAAGCGGTTTAGCTTTTAGGTTTGGGGGTTCGAGAAGTCAGTGGGTCTGATAGGGAGAAGTTTAGACGTTATAAGAGGATGAGAACGAAGCAGTCCCTGAATATGAGAAGCTCTTGAAGTGCATCAGAGGGTCCAGTTAGGGTCTGCAGGGTTTCAGGCAATGGGGTTTGGAGGGATGGCACGATTTTATTGGGATTTGTGTTCAAGAGATCAGGCCTGGAAGAGGGACAATTCCAGGTGACCTAGAAACTCCGTAAGAATATTTCAGCGTGCGCAGTAGCCTGGAGCCTAAACAGTTCCGAAAGACATTGTCGTGCCTCAAGAAGCCTTCAGCCTAGAATCCAAACACGCCCCGAACACGAAGCTATTATGGTCACCGACGAGGGCATGACTTTAGTAAGACATTCCCAAACACAGCAGGACGCCAAGGACCCCGAGCCAGTTCGACACCCAAATAAGCCCAAACTGGCTTATACCCCGTCTGACCCCGAAAATTCCCGAAAACCTAAAACTCAACAGCCCCAGAACCTAAGACGTGCCCTCTCGGAAAGCAACCCTCGCAGGTGCCATGCCCAAAAGCTCGATGCTGGGCCCGTTCATGATGGGTTTTAGCGGTTGGAAATAGAGGTTACGGTTCGGAGCTTTGTGGGTCTACGGTAGAGGGTTGCAGGACTAGAGTTGGCAAGCCTGCAGACGGCACGATACCCAGCACCATCCGAGGAGCGTCTTCATGAAGGGCGAGAAAGGCCCAGGTGGAGACATGGGCCACTGGGATGATTCAGTGTTCGAGTTACAACGACTGCTGTCTCCGACCGCTGCCCGGCACTTCCTCCTGCCGCTGGTGGTGGTAGGGGCAGTGGTCGTCGTCTAAGCCCCAGAGCTATCCAAACACATAGAAAGTTTCGTGTTCAGGCCTTGCATAGCTTGTGAGGCTGTTCGTGATGATGGAGACTCAGAAGAGGTTGAGTGAGATACGTTCGGCCCCAGACAACCGCAGACTTGGACCCCACTCCCTCCGTGAAGCTTGCACCGCCAATCTGAAGGCTCCTATGTCACAGTTTTTATAACTCTATAGTAACTTACAGTCTTTTGCATGGTATATATATATATATATCTGTTATATAATGTAATATAATATAGTATAGTATAATATAATATAATATAATATAATATAATATAATATAATATAATATAATATAATATAACATAATATAACATAATATAATATAATATAACATAATATAATATAATATAATATAAT